ATACGAGCAATGTTTGCTTGTATGTATGTATGCTTGCTTGCTTGTACCAAGATCTCGAAAACGGCTCCGACGATTTTCTTCAAATGTTGTAAATAGATTATTTTTGGCCTAAAAACGAGTTTACTATAGTTACAACTGCCAACAAAAATCTAATTACGTAGAAAAATGAAACTGAAAGTCACATTTTTTTAACATTAGTCTTATGGGTTGCTAAGTAACCATGTTGGAAGAATTAAATAACAAGGAAAAAGTAAACAAAAGACTTGTAAGTTGTAACACATGTGTTCGTAAAGGCATCTACCCACAGTATACTAGAAATTCCAAAATAAAGTACAAAAGCAAAAACATCACTTGTTACTATTGAGCAATGATTATACTGAAGCTTACTCGATACATTGTAGTAAAGGCTAACTTAGCAGTGCAGAGTGTGGGATCTGTTATGACGATTAGATTAAGGTAAATTTCCCATCCTTATGGAACAGCTGAAGCCAATTTTATTGTTAGTTCTGTCCGGTTTTCTGCAGATGTCGAGCTTTGTATACAATTTGTTTCTTGTTATTTCAGTAATTTAAAACCTCATTTAACCAAGTAATACTATTTAATCATAAACGAAGACTCGTTCACTATATTACCGTACTATATGACTATATTACTATAGTTGGCTATATAAGAAAACAGTGAGACACAAATAATGAGAAAATGACCCTAAAATAATAGAAACAAATTGTAAACAAAACATGACATCTACAGAAAACCAGACAGAACTAACAAGAAAAGTGGCTTCAGCTATTCCATAAGGATGGTAAGGTAACTGCAATTCTAAAATGCTGTGGGACGGTTAGGAAACAGGACCGACGTACAAGCGACGTAAAAAGTGGTGAAGGAAGTAGTAAATGTGAGCTATCCTGAGTGCGGGAACTTTTTATGACGATTAGATTAAGGTATCTGCAATTCTAAAATGCTATGGGAAGGCAAGGAAATAGCTCCGTGACGTAGGAAGTGGTAAAGGAAATAGTAAAGGTGAGCGGTCCGGAGTGTGGGAACTGTTTATGACGAACAGATTAAGGTATTTACAATCCTAAAATGCTATGGGAAGGGAGGGAAACAGGTCCGCGACATAGGAAGTGGTGAAGGAAGTAGTAAAGGTGAGTAGTCCGGAGTGTGGGAACTGTTTATGACGATTATATTAAGGTATCTACAATCCTAAAATGCTATGGGAAGGGAGGGAAACAGGTCCGCGACGTAGGAAGTGGTGAAGGAAGTAGTAAAGGCGAGCAGTGTGGAGTCTGGGAACTGGAAACCAATTGTAACAGTTATATTTATGTATCTGAAATTTAAATACTGAAATGCTATGAGAAGGGATGGAAACATGTCCAAGTCATAGGAAATGGTGAAAGAAGTAGTAAATGCTAGCAGTGCGGAGTGTGGTAAATGTTTGTGGCAATTAGATTAATGTATTTAAAATACTAAAATGGTATTGAAAGAGATTAAAACAGGTCCACGACGTAGGAAGTAGTAAAGTTTAGCATCGCAGAGTGTGGGAACCTTTTGTGGCAGTTCGATTAATGTATCTGTAATACGTAAATGCTATGAGAAGGGAAGGAAACAGGTCCATGACGTAGGAAATGGTGAGGGAAGTAGTAAAGGCTGGCATCGCAGAGTTGGGGAATGAATTTCCCCGAGCAAAGCTCGGTCCCCAGGTACTGTAAAATAAACTGAGTAGCTCATTTAAATGATAATTGGGTGAACATTTCTTCGTAAAGAAACAATAAGGCATATTTTGTTATTGTTACAATACAAACGAAAACATTGTTTTACCACGGTTGTATAATAAATCGTTAAAGAAATCTTCGAATTAATTACCATTCTGATGTTTGTTTATACATCATATTAATCAACAGTTGGCTTCAAAGATCAAATCCTGATACTCGAATGTCAAAATTAAAATCAAAAACCTACTAAATTAAGATAGGCTACTTAATAATAAAATGTTTACTATTATTATTATATAATGTTTATATTAGCTATTAAAGCAGAATGAAGATAATTAATCATTCTCACTAATTTATATATCTGGCCAGGGGGTAAAATTCCAGGGGTAAAAATCCGGGCCGTACACTCTAGGTTTTTATAATTTGATGTGTTCTGATTAAATTCACAACCGTGAAAATATATGTTTAATTCCACGTTTAATCCATCGAGCTGATGTCGCGAAACTCAAAAGTTCGCGGCCGGAATTTTACCCTCTGGTTTGTGACGTCACGTTTGCCCAGGGGGATAAAAATCCGCTACCCCAACTAGAGACACTTGGAGGTTAACAGCAACAAAATTATCCAGCTGATCAAAATGTAAACAATTATGTTCTTCATAAGGATAACAATATATTTTTATATTTTATATTATTCAAACATCTGTTAACTAAGTCTGGTTCATAAATAAAGAGTTTCCTTACAACTAGTGTACCTGTTGCTCGAATTCGAGCAATTGCTAAGTATTACAGGCGTTATTTTAAAACGAATAACAGTCATAATTTCTGATGACTTTAAAACATTTGACTCAAAGTCAAAGATTATGTAAATACTCAACATGTACATAACAGATTGATATAATCAACATTTATTGTGTATAGTGTTTTCTACAAACAGCCTTACTCATAGCCGCATTAGGTTTCCAGACACACTATGTATCCAAATGCCTAACAGCACGACTCCCTTCCCCATACCACCCTGAGCGATAGGGATCCTTGAGATTTGCTCTAACCTTTCCATCATAGGCAAGTTTTCATTCCTTATTTCTTAGTTTTTGTTTGTTTCTTTTTTTAAAATTTTATTGCCTGTATGTATTCCTGGTTTTTTCCTATTTCCCTAGCTACTTTTCTAAACAACTCAATTTGTTTCCTTGTCACTCATCATGTTTAATTTTCTCAACTCTAGACCTCTCTTATCCAAGACTTATTCCTGTTCTCTCCTATTTGTCTCCTGAAGTGAACAATTTATAAATACACGTGACTCGTGGTTTTTATTTCTCCACATCTACATACTTCCTCTTCCACCATGTGGATTCTTCACAAATTTTCCTTGAAATTTTCCATGTCCTGTGACAATTAAACTGCGTTTCATAATGGCCCATCTCCCAATCTTGTTCCAGTCTCTTTCTGATGTTAGGTATACATCCGAACGTTTACCTTTAAAACGTTAACATAAAACACTCTGCTTCCAACGCATTTGCCACTCATCTAATATCTCCTCTCTTCTGTTTCCGATGTAGTCCTAACCGCCTCCTTGTTTTCCAAAATCAACAGCTTATGAAGCGATTATCAAACAGTCCTAAATTGAATGTGAAATCTTCAGGTGGCTGTTGGCTGTATTCAGCTATCAACGGCAATAGTATTATTTGTATTGCGTTCGCGTCTACCAGTTAATGTTCGTCGGCCTCCTCCTATTGGCCGTCCTGGTCGACGTTTTATAGTCTCCATTATGTCAAAAGATTTTTTGTTATGTTTTGATTTTGTGCAAAATTTTAGTATAACCAGCTGTTTCAAATATCAGTGTCAATTTCAAAGTATTCATCTGTTCAAATGTAAACAAACATTTTCCCCCTAAGAATAACATGGGAACTTTGAAGGCCACTGGGGCAGAGTCCTGATGGAATTCCAAAGTTTTTTTGTTTGATGGCAAAACTACATGCTAGGACCTTTCTAACGACACCTTTGACATGGTGATCGGTAGCACAACCACTCCAAAACAATTATGACAAAAATATGCCTAGCGTATTAAATATATAGATACCTGACAAAAACAAATGTTTGTAAAAGTTAAATTTATATACCTTCATCGTATTTTACTGTATTATCATGTAGTTTTGGTTACATTTCGGTGTGTTAAGTGAATGTTTGAAAGTGATTATTCACAGTGCAGTTACCCGTTACATTACCATATTATCATGTAATTTACAATGTGTATTAAAATTCCTTTGTAATGTTGTTGATTGGTTAACTTTCGTATTTTATCTAAATTTAAAATTAGATGCCACCAGTAAGACGAAGAACTGTGAGTGGCTGGAGAGAACGCAAACGTAACCGCTTGCATCAACCTCCCAATTTGACGGATACAGTAGTACCGCCGATGGTGATGGTGATACATCGAATCTCGGATAAATGAATGTTAAATTTTTACATTGGTGGTGGTTTACGTTTTAAGCAAGAAAAGACTGGCCGAGACAGTTTAATTTCTACTCTTGGTTGCCAAAAATGAAAGGTTCGTTTACCTCATTTGCGGAATCCACCATACTTTCAGGAACTTGGATACTCCCAATCTGAAAACAGGGCTGTGAGGCTTGGATCCAGAAATTATCTGGATAAAATTTGTCAATTCAATTCTGCCTTTGCTATGGTCAGCTCTGAAGCTAATTTTGACGAGAGGGTCACACAGGGGATCTACAATTTCAAGATCCATGACACGTTTTACCAACGAGTAGATTTCTTTTGGTTGATTACATACCAAGAGGACTAAAGACAAATTTATTAAATTCCCTCACCAGATCTTGTAATTTGTAGTTTTTTTTATTTATAATTGAAAATTATTTTTGTAGTAAACATTATTGGATGGATCGATGTATTGTATTTTACATCATTGTATTTTATGAGTCATTTATCTGAATAAAGTACAATAAAATCTGTAAAGAAATGAAATGCCAAAGTTGGGTAACAATTAAATTGCAAAAAAAATCAACTTAGAGGAATCCCAGTAGAGCTTGGTAAATAAAAGGGAATTAATATTAATTACTAAAGAGATAAAAAAAGAAATTATTAATCATATACATTAATTTTAATATCGAATAATTTGTTGTCCATGTAATTAATGGTGAATAACAGAATTGTGAAAAAAATATGTAAAATCAAAATATCAATTTTCAATAGTTGGAAAGTTACAAACTTTTTGGCCATTTTATTTTTATTAATGTTGTCTGTTAAGTACAATCTAATGGAGTTTTTGTTGCAGCACGAATAAAGAGTACAAATGCAAACTCTGTCCAAAGAGTTTCCGCCACGATTCTGGACTCTCCAGGCACATGAATATACACAATGGCACTTACTTCTTCTGTAACATCTGTGGAAAACACTTCAATGATGGGTCATCTGTTAAAAGACACACAAAATTGCATGATACATAAACAGTGAGTACAACATGTAACTCGGGAACAATCAATTACGGATCCAACATGTCCAATCGTTATATTAAATGTGTAAAATACTGTTTGTCCATCTAAAATAAAGATCTTTGCTGGTTCAAAATTTTAAAATTTGCGAAATAGAGGCTAAACGCCTACTGATATTTAGGTTTTATATTCCTAAATAATGATTAATTCCTTTTTTGTTTTCATAGGCTATATAATTTACCGAATGTTTTGTTCAAAGAAAAGTAAATATTTCCTTATTATCTGAGGAATATGAGTATAGTAAGGGTAAAAATAAAACATCAAATAATTTGCCATCAAGTCATTAACATTATCTTTTTGTAAAAAAATGACTACTTTCCAATCCTGCTGGAGTTTAATGAAAATCTGAATCAAATTTAGTAAAAAGTTATTCGGGAACTGTCTTTATGGTATTCAAAAATTACAAAAAAGCAATGGGGCAGAACTAGCCTTAAACTAACATGAATGCTCCAAATATTAACAGCTTGGATGATTATCTGTAGGCATATGCTTGGCAATACAAATATAATACAGCGTGCAAGGATAGCAGTCGTCTGGATTTGTGCAGACCCTACTTTACTTGCCTAACAAGGGAAAACTGATGTTACAGACCAACCACTTTCAACCCTCTGTTTAAACCAAGGAATTATAGACCTGACAACTACTTGTTGTTCACAGGGAATAAAGCCCACAAACATGACAATAATAAGATGATCTTATCACAACAACAAGAATTTTGAAATGTGTGACATTACATTCCATGTAGCCAATAATACTAATAGCATGCCCTGCAACAAAACCTATCCTCATGTAACCCAAAGAGTTAAGTTCCTTGTGTGAATTGTCTGCACCATTTAGACTCGGCACAAATAAACTTTATATAAGTATTAGATAACAGATTTACTTGGGTTTTCCGACTTTCCTGTTGCTTTCAGAAGTGTTAGGATAGGTTAATAAGTTTAATATATAAGGACTGGTATAGCCACCGAACTCAAAAGACCTGTGATGGAACAGCAAGGTAAAACTGACATAAACCACTGATAGCTCCCCCTCATCAGCCCCTTGGTTTGGCGTTAACTATTTTCCTTGGCACTTGACCTACTGAAAAACGTGTTAACATCTTTTAAAAAATCCACAGCTAATTGTTTTAAATTAATAATCTTTCTCTTGTTTCCCTAGAATTTCCACAAAAGATTACTGTTATTTTTTTAAATTCAGGTTGGTATTTCACACATTTTGAAATTATTTGGATTTCTCATTGGTTTCTGTGTCCAGTAGCTAATTGTTTACTTACATTTTACTTATTAATTATTAAAACGGGATTGGAACCAAACATAGTAATAAATGAAATGCACTGAATATGGTTTATTCAACCATCATAAGTTTAACTTTATATTTGGTTACACCCACTGCACACCAAATAAAGCAATTGTTCAATAAACCTGTGCCATATTTTGAATGGTACATTTTTATTTAATGATATTGAGACACATTGCAGCTCTGTTTAGCTGAAACTGAAACCTCTTTAACTGATCTCTATCAGCTATTACTCAGGTTGGAAATTATATGAATGAACTTTCAGTGCCACCACTCAAACTTGTCAACATTATCATTGTAAACTAACATTTATAAACTTCATCAGGATTGGAAAGACGTTTTCTTTACAGAATGATTACTCATTTTTTCATGTATTGTAATACTATATTTCATTTTTTGGTTAATATTTTATTTTTCGCAAGGGTTTGCTCACGATGAACAATTTCTGTACACTCGTTTTCTGCCATAAGTCCTGTGAAAAAACTAACTTGGTTTCAAGTTAAGATAGCTTTGTCAAGCCTGTTGATTGTATGAACAAATCCTATGTTGATGATAAACAGCTTAGTCTTCTCACTTTTTCTTAACTCTTCATTCTCGTTATTACTCAGTGTTAACAGCTTTCTTCTTAGAAATAAATAAGTTATGAATCTTGTTGATTTTATTATATGTAGCCAGTCAATAGTATTTAACATTATTGTTACCAATAAGGCTACAAATGTATGTTAGGTAAAATCTAATTGAATGTACTGATCTCACAAACATTTTCATTTCATTTTTAAGACTTGTGCATTCTGTGTGGATAAAATTTGTCAACTTGTAAAATAAACTATTGTTAAAATGTTTATGAGTTCTTGTATTTTTAGTGTAATAGTTATTCTTACTTGTAAAATACTTATATATATATAAATTATATAAATGTACACTTTAGATTTTTTCAACACTACTTTTGATTATACTTATTATAAGATAGAAGTTGAATTTGTATTAACAAAAACTGTACATTTATGTTGTAATCTCAATTAAATGTCATAGTTAGGACTGAGACTTTAACAGATAGCAGAATATGTAAATTTTAAAAACATGTTTTTAAATTCAAGTCTGTAACTGGTTTATGCAATTTTGTACGATTAGTGACTGCTTTATGACTAGCAGAAATTAAGCTAAAATTTTAACTAAGCAAATTTCTATTTACCTGATTTGATTTACACTAAAATGTCTTCATAAAAATATCACATTTATTTCTTATATAAATAGAATTATTTTTTGAATACTTAGGTTCGCTGCAACAGGGAGAGTAAAAAAGTTTTTTTTTCGTAAAGTGTAAATGATTTAGTAAGAAATAAATACATTTTCAAAATTTGATCAAAATATGTTTATAAATAAGCAAAATACAACAGTTTACTTATTCTCCATAAGAATCTATAAAATATATAAAAGGCAAAGCCCTCACTGACTGACTCACTCACTCACTCACTCATCACTAATTCTCCCACTTCCCATTTACCTAGGAGGCTGAAATTTGGTACACTGATTCTTTAGGCATTAAATAGGAAAACAAAGTTGTTTTTATTCTGATCGGACTCTCGGGCTCCGCCCCAGTGGCTCTGGAGTTTCCCATGTTATGAGTACTCATATTTAAATGGAATTAATGAATCTTAACAGCTGTTTCAATTAAACATGTTGGTTCTGTTCTATGATGTGCAATAGCATTAAAGTTACAAGGATTACCAACAGGGTGCAGCACTATCATTTTTTTTAAATTTATGACAACAGCTAATTTGCAACCAAAAGGTGAGTGAGCGTAGCGAACGAACTTCAACCTGGAGGCGAGTTAGCGTAGCGAACGAGCTAACCTGAAGGCAAGTGATCGCAGCGAACGAGCTCCAACCAGGACGTGATTGAGCCATGCAAACGAGCTCATCTTGAAAATTAAGAAGTTAAACGGGGCAAAGCCCGCGGGTACAGCTAGTAACATATAAATTTAAAATTTTTGGAATTTTCTACGTAATTATTCTCCGCATATTTTAAGCTCTACAAAGTGGTTTGGAGAGAAATTACTAAATTTTATAGTTTTTTGGTCCAAAATGGGAAAAATCAATTTTTATTTTTTACCGCACTAAAACCCCCATAAACCCCCATTCCCATTGTCTGATAATGATGGTACGTGAACTTGTTCGAATAAATGTAGGTTTACATGTTTTTACCATATTTCATCAAAATCCGATCCTTTTTCTCGAGTGAGCTAACGAACACACATACATGTACAGTAGACTTCCTCTTATCCGGACACCTTTTAACCGGACATCGGTTTAACCGGACTACTCTCAGCGGAAATTACATCTCTTTAACCGGAATTTTTATCAGTACATTGGTTTAACCGGACTAAATCGGCAGGAAGTGGGCGGTACTGAAACTACTATAGAATTTTTTTGCGGTTGCAGCCAAAATCATGTGCTGGGGTCTGCCTTTCAGAATAACAACTTTGTAACCAGGGAAACAGTTATTCCAGTGCTGCCAACTTCAAGTATATAAGTTTACCTACCCAAAAATGAGTACAGATGGAATCATTGGGAAACAACTGGCTTTATAAACTATAATAAAAATTGTGATTCAAAATGTACTCACTGGGAATGAAAGGGTTAAGGACCTGATAAAGCAACAGGTGAGCAGCAGGGTTTATGCAATTAAAGATTTATTTGGCCAGATTTGAAAAAACATCCAGGCTATAAGAAGGGTTTTCTAATAGCCAATTATAAAACAAGGACTTTTAATTTTTCCTTTATATAAGCATCAATATTGTGTTTTAAAAGGATATATACTTTATTTGATAACACTATGTGGTTCTTGCTAGTCTTTTTCATGCGATATGATTCTAACGAGGCACTATTTTTAAATCTGTTATTGTGATTATGATTATTGAAGTTTAGGTCATGAGGGTTTTTTTAAGATATAAAGGGTAAGATCATAAATAAACAATTGATTAAAGTTTGAATCTTAAAATCCTTAAACATAAGTGGATGAGGAGATGAATATGTGGGAAACTTCAAAAGGGAAAACTGAAGAGTTCTGCAGCAATACTATGAGAAGATTGAAGACAAGTGGGGGCACAAAAGAAGGGCAAGGCCTGAAGAAGATCAGACAACAGTTTGAGTTACAACAGCCTTGCGATTAATTAAGTATGTTATGTATCTAGTAGGCCTATTAAGTATCTTTTGTACTTAGTTTTTAACTGTTAAGGGTATCTCATGTGTATATGTATTATATAAAGTATTTCATCTAGCTTACTAACACTAATCTGATTGAGTGACATAACATCATAACAAATAAGATGCTGTATCGCTTTTGGGAGGTTTGAATCTTGAATACCAGACCGCCCATTCAGAGACAAAATTTTTATGGTTTCTTTCCTCACTTGGGTGGATGCCGGAATGGTTTGATCAAGGGCCATATACCCCAACAGGCAGAATGGAAGAGAGGACTTATAGTCCTTGCCACCCTAACTTGAGGCAGCCCAAGGCCGCACTAGATATACGGCAGCCTTGGGCTGCCTCAAGTTAGGGTGGCGAGGTCTATAGTCCTAATATAATTTGGGGCTTGGTTTAAAAAGCCCCAAATACAGTAGTTTAGAACTCAGTTACTTGACTATCAGGTATGTAGTTAGGGCAAGTTAATGTGTGATCCCTTTTGAAGATAAGGACTGGTGTGGGATTTAGATGCACCCTCTAGTCTCATATCCATAAATTATAAATTACATTTTTATGAATGTTAATGCTAGACATTCTTAGATAGTTAAGGCATATATATGAAATATTTTTTTGGGAATTCTTTCTTAGACACTGCCTTTTGAAAATATTACCAAATTAGAGGAGGATTTATGAAAAATCACAACTTGTTTGACAATAACTGTTTATTTAATAAATATTTATTATAAATATGACTTAAAACAAAAGAACAGGGTGACTAGGAATATATTAAAATAATAATCATTTAAACCTGTTACAAGGAAATCCCACAAGGGCCCACCGGTTCCCACTTGCCCTTGATATTAACCTTAAACCACTCTAATTTACCCTACCATAAACTCATCCCTGGTAAGTTTTTCTATTTAAATATTTAGGTTGTATATAACAAGTCATTCATACTGTGTGGTATTCGTTTAAGGCTAACCAAAATTTAGTTACAGTTAATATAAAAAAATGTTTAAGAGCGAAACAAGATTAATAAAACTTTGTTGTTTGTTTCACAATACTTGTAATTTAATCAACTCAGCTACGGTATTAAATTTAATCAGTAATTAAAATTATATCTAATGTAAGAACACACATGTTGCTATTACTGTTCAAAGCGCTGAGTTGTATTAGGTGTGCACATTCAAATAACCCAACGCCTGACTGGGCTACCGTACCTATAGGTATATAAATAGTAAAATCTACTTGGGATCGCTTATTTACTCTCCTGCGATAAATATCAAAAAGCTAGTTATAAACTGTAACAAATCAGGAAGTCTTACAAAAAAACTTTAATTATACAACTTTAGAACTATCTTCTAAAATCATAAATAAATTGATCTGAGAGGTAAAAAACATAATTTGTATTATAATATATATATATAATATTTACAGTAGGCCTAAACTAAATTATACTTCAGTACCATAATTTAATTCTGTTAAAAAACAACACTTTTTAAACGTCTACTGGATTTATAATAAGATTCCAATTTACCCATTTGGCTATTGCTACGAGACATTTGTTTGACTATTAATTTACAATACTGTATATTCTTCCTCAAAATCTAACCTTAAAAATAATACATTTTTAGCCTTTTCTTCATCCCATAAACACAATTTTAAATTATTTTTACTTTCCCTCTGTACATTATAATCTTCCTTTGTGCAATATTAACTAAACAATTCCTTTAATGTTTATTTTTGTTTTCAAGTACATTTATTGACATAGTCTTACAAATGCACGCTATATATGATATGAAAAAGATGTTTGTCCCCAAACAAATATTCATATAATAGAGGATTTTTTAGTTTTCCTTCATTCCTGCAGCTAAGTGAGTTAAGTGATGAAAAACTGAGCTTTCTATTATTTATCACATATCAATTATTTATCATCAAATATGAATATAAACCTATAACATAGAAATAAATAAAATAAATATCATTATCTTACTCTATATTTACAAATAAATACTGTATTATACTTGATAACTATCTCTAAAACTACAATCGAGTGTAAAGTTGGGTTTAAAAAAAAATCATATTCTATACTTAAAGATGTGTTATATAAAACAATGTTCTATATATTACTGCTATAGCTGCACATTTTACAATTCTTAATAATAACTTTCTATGCTGGCCAAAACCTCAATATAGTGAGTTTTAGTTTGGTTTTCTAAAGGAAGTATCCTATATCACATTTCTCATTGATACAGCACATTCTGTAGTCCTTGTTTTTACCTCTGAAGAGGAAAAAATATCTTAGCAAAGTAACTGCTTGCAATGTAACCTTGAAATATAAAAAAACTATTTACAAACAAAACAAATAAGTACAAAATTAAATGGTGGTGATGAAAAGATCAGGATAAGTAAACAATCGTTGGCAAACAATATACAATTAGAGTTGGATTTTTCAACATAAGAGAGATTAAATTATAGTGCCCTTTCTTCTCTATCTCCTTTACTCAACAATACATCCTTGTCTTTGATCGAAACACTCACATCTGATTCATCTCCTGAGGATGGCAAAATTGGTTTAAAACCTCCAAATAACTGTGGCTTAAAGTTTTCAATGTCAAACTTGTTGCCATCAGTGTCAGTGTTGTTGGACTCCTCTTGTGCCTCCCCGGCAGGCTTTAAGTTCTTGTCTGTGACTACCATCCAGCCCTGGCTCTCAGGACCACTTTGACTTGCCATGAAAGGTGCCTGGAAGCCAAGTGGTTGTGGTTCAGACGGTGTGTACGTAACTGGAACTTTGTGGTTTGCTGGTCTCTGTTGGGTGTACATTGTGGCTGACACTGTCATTTCTGAACCGTTTTTCTCCAGATTTTCTGTCTGTTTTTCACCAGCTTTCTCTGTTGTATTTTTCAGTGAAGTTGTTGCTAAACTATTGTTCAGTGTTGTTGAAATTACGTTGTTTGTTGATACTGGCTTTTGGGAAATTTTGGAATCCTTTTTAATAAAGGACGGTGATTTAATCATAACCTGTGGTTTCTTTGTGGCAAAAGGCATATAATCTTGTAAGTAAGGTATGATATTTATTTCTGAGTCATGATCTTTAATTTCTTCTGTACTACTGGCAGGAGTTGGACTAAAAGCAGTGTACTCTTTTATATTGGAGCCGGATGATAATATTCTTTCTTCAGGTATATCATTTGCTATGGGTTTAACGATGGGGTAAGGAAAATCATGCTTGATTAATGGTTTTGATGGCACTTTTGTTTTCAGTATCGGTGTGTCTACTCTATCTAGATCAGGGATGGGAAAGTTTTTGTTATCGTCTAGAGGGAAGGAATCAAGATCGTCTTTTTCCAAATTTGCAGGAGGTAAAGGTCTTTGTGCACGAGTTCCTATAACAACTACTTCCTCAGGCTCTGGCTTTTGAGCCATTCCATGAGCACTTGGATATACTAGAAAAACAGGCTTATTTTTTTCTGTTGATTGTCTGTTTTCCAATCCATCCAAGCGAACTCCAGTCTTCTTGTGAGGGTTCTGTTGCATCATTTGGAGTGTAGTCACACGAGGAAACTGAGCTCCAGATCTTCTATTAACGACAGGTTCAGCTCTCATTTCCCCAGAAGATATTTCTCTATCTATCTCCGATTCATCATCATTTCTATTTATTCTTAAATGTTGAGGTTTTGGAAGAGGTGGAGGTTGAAGTGTGTCCAATGGCTCCCTCGGTATTTCTCCAGGAATCAGTGGCTGTCGGTAATCTACGTGACCTACTTTTGCATTTGGTCTGAACTGTGGTAAAATATTGGGCAAGTCAGGTCTTTGTATGTTTTCTGGTTTACCTCTGCTTAGACCTGGATAGTTCTGAGGAAGAACAATTTCTTTTTTAGGAATCACATTTTGTACAGGGCTATAAACTAGTTTATTGTGATTTTCCCAATGGGGTCGGGGATACAGATCTACTTCACCATTAGGTGGCTGTGGGTCATCATTTGGCAGTCTGTGTACTGGGGGTCGGGCCTGTATTTGAATCGGTTGTCTGTATCCAGGTTTATTTGGTTGGTAGCTCTGAACTGGTGCCCTATTATTTGGAGGACGGAGAAGTTGGGCTGGAAAGTTAGAATTTGCTTCTGATGGATTTGTTTCTGCTGGAGTATTATCAGGAAAGAGCACCTGTCCAACTCCTTGACCTTTCTGAATTTCAAACGGTTCTTGACCTGCTGGGGCTGGGACACCAATGGAGAAAGAAGTTTGAAGTGAGTAACTGGGATTCTCTTGGTCAGGAGTCACTTTGATAAAATGACTGTCAATTTTACTGGGTACTTTAAAGTTTGATTTATTAGGTAGTCCTATATCTGCTGGTGGTCGAGGCTTCACACTAGGAATGGGTCTTTCAGATGGTCTACCTTCATAAACTGGATGGTTATTTTGGTTATTATGCTGAACACCTGGATGTGAAAAATCTGGATGATTAATGGGATCTTTGATGAGGTAGGGTGGTGGGGGCGGTCTTTCATAAATATTGCCAAGAGATGGCCTATTTATTGGATTCTGGCCGGCAGTTTCTGCAAAATTATTTGGTAGTTGTTGAAATGGTCTTAGCTTATTTGGTTGTTCAGGAAAGTATGATAGAGGTGCATCAGGTCTCGGTGGCTCCATCTGGGGTAGTAGTGTTGGAGGAACTGGTCTGATGTTTTGATGGGACGGCAATCTTTGAAACTCATTTATCCCTTCAGGCTTATGTTTAGGAAAATCATTCTTAACTATTTGATTTTCCCCTTCATTTTTGGTGTCAGCTGTTATCTTAATAGGACCAAAAATTGGTCTAAATGGCTCTTCTCCTAAACTGTGATAGATTTCCTCCGAAGGTATGTTATAGTTAGGAATACTACCAATCTTGTTTGGCTCTGGTGAATGTTTGCTTGGTGATTCTGATGTATGGTTTGATTTGGAACCATTAGTGATATTGGTTGGGGTTTGTGTTGAAGGTGCTGCATTTAAAACTGATGATGCTGTTGTCTGCTCTTGGGACGTTGAATAATAAACATCCAAAGGCAAGGAAGTGACAATGCTCACTTGTTGTTTTTGTTTTTCTGTAGTTGGAGATTCAGAGCTTGGTTTTGGTGTTGTAGTTGTAGTGGTAAAGCGGAAGGTAGTTGGTCTGTAAGTTGTAACTGTATATTTAACCGTTTCTGGTCTATATGTATTGTATTCGCTTGGTACTGCTTGATTATCTTGAGCAGCTCCAGTATCTTCTTCATACTCATTGTAATCTGTATTTTCATATTCTTCTTCTTCAGTTGTAGTAGAGGTTGGCTTTGCTGTCGAGGGCCTTATGGTTGTAGTTGAATATTGAATAGGCTTCAAAGTTGTGTATTTAGTAGTTGGCATCGTGTAATAAGAAGGGGATTGAGTCGACGATGTCTTCACATATTTATGATTACTGTAGCTTGTAGAACTTCCAGTCCCTTGGACCTTGGTGTTTGCATAAGAGCTTGATATTAGAGGAAATTTATCACTTGAACTGTAATGAACTGGCAAGTTTAAAAACTGATGCAAGTCTGGGGAAATTTTATATGGATTCTGAAGGATATCATTGGGGCGATATTTGTTGGAACCCTCAATATTTCCGTCTTTTCTATCAATCCCATCTTCTGTAAAGTCTTGATCATCATAAAAGTAGTCACTTTCAGCAGGATTATCTTTTTCATTAGTGAGGGCTGAAGACGTATACGATTCTACCTTCTCAGTATTTTTGGGAGTGGTTTTCCTGTTGAAATCAATTGCTCCTGTCAAGGGATCTTTTTCTACATAAAATGGTTCACCTTTGTTAAATGTATAATAGTTGGGTGGAATGTACTCTTGAGGAGCAGCATTTTGCACAGTCATTGGCGGTTGTGAAACTTCTTTGACAGAAGCAGTTTGACTGTCGCTTGAAGTAACATTTTCACCCTCTGTTGGCAGAGCTATCGCTGGATCAGTGAATAGCACGCAGAGGACTACAGTAGTCAGAAACATTTTTTCAGCTATCTGAAACAAAAATAAAACCCCTTTAACCAATGTGAAACCTCTTACATTAACATGCTTTAACTTGTTAATGTTAATTAAATATCTGGACACAAAATTGTTGTATACTGTAGTATATCACTATAATGGATTGGATCTATCTCAATATACACTAGACATCCCATTCTAATGAAAATGTTTGATAACCAATTTTAGGATAAAAATGAACATACAGTAGTTGTACCACAGAGTTAAGAGTAGACATTGTCCGTTATTGTGTCAAACAGAGAGTCACTTATTGGGTGTGCTAATGAAATTTGTAAATTCTGTAGGATACACCACATTATTACCAAGCCAAGCTGAAAGGACATATTTTTGTAAACTATAGGTAGCATCTGTTATGCCATACTAACCATAACAGTTAGCTGTAACAGCAAAGCTAGGGAAGAAAATAGATCTTTAGAGGGTGAGGGCTTGCACTTTGCACACTCTGTAGCTGGCCGATATACAGGGTGATCAACTCAAGGAGGCCACCATTGGGATATCCGAAACGGTAAGAATTAGAGAAAACTTTAAACGGGGGACATTCCTTTATTTTTTGTGGCAGTTAAAGATATGAGCTATTTTTTTCGAAATTCAGCCGCCATTTTCCAAAATGGCGGCCAACTTTGAAATTTCTTATGAAACTCCCTCTTATGGAACATGCAATTTAAAAACTTTTATTCTTGACATTTTTTCGATAAACCCACTCGTTTGGGAGTTACAGCTTACAGCCTATGGAAAAATGACTTGCGGTGTACATTTTACATAATGTAGCTCCTAAACAAGTAGGTTTATAGCGAAAATTCAAAGAGTAAATAAGTCAAATAAGTCTTAAAATTACATCCACATTCAAAAAAGACCATAAAATTCGTTAAAAATATTAATTATATTATTTCAAAAATGGCGGCCATTTTCCAAAATGACTTGAAAAGTTGAAAACGGTGTATTTTATGGTCTTTATGGAATGTGGATGCAATTTTAAGACATTTGACTTATTTACTCTTCGCATTTTCACTATAAATCTACTTGTTAGAAGCTACATGATGTAAAATGTACATGAAGTCATTTTTCCTAAGGCTGTAACTCCTAAACAAGTGGGTTTATCGAAAAAATGTCAAGAATAAAACAGTTTTTAAATTGCATGTTCTATCCGAAAACATGATAAAATATAATGTGTTCCTAAAGAAATTTCAAAGTTGGCTGAATATTGTAATAATAAAATAATATTTTTAACTGCCAAACAAATAATAAATTAATGTCCCCCATTTAAAGTTTTCTCTAATTCTTACCGTTTCCGATATCCCAATGGTGGCCTCCTTGAGTTGATCACCCTTCATGTCTACTTCATATATTCAAAATTCAAATGTAATGGTAATATGTAGGCCTACCGTTGACAGTTTGTTTCAACTAATAGTCAATTATAATAATGTAGGTAGGCTACATTATTTAAGAATAACAAAAAAATATAATAATTATTCCCTGTTTTTATTTCTATTTGCTTATGCAAATCAATAAAGCACATATATTATAAATCAAGTAGCCTGCTTTCAGCATTTCCAATACATTATACAGTTACCACACACAATATGGAGTTTTTGACACTATGAGAAGAAACCCCTTAAGTAATCCTCCTATTCGTGATATAAATATGTGAACCAGTTCTAAACAAATAGTTTAATACACATTTTAATTTATATATTTATACAATGGCATTCTGGTTTTGTCCTTGGCCGGCCTCACGCGCATGTACATGATTTGTAATTATAAATGTTTTCGTGTGTGTTTATGTGTATGTGTGAAGTAATTTTGATGACGGCTTATGAAAGAGAATATGTTTGACATTTGACGACTGAAGAGAAGATTTGAAAATGGGGTTTTAACCCCGAAACTATAGTCATCCACGATAATAGATGACTGATTGACGACAGGTAAGTAACCTCATTTTATGTCACACATTATAATTTATTCAAAAATAGTAACACGTTATAAGTCCATATGTAAAGTATTTTAGTTTGACCCTTAGAGTTTTTATAGAAGTGTTTTAAGGAACTATGTCAGAGACTATGGGCGGAGAGGAAGTAGGCGCTAAACATCAAGGAATGTGTGAATCATCCGCGGTAACCAGGATGTCTGTGACAATCTGGGTTACGGCGCGGCTCAATCAGGAACTATGGAAACAAGTGAAAGGGGTGCTTGGTGTATCTTCCGTGACGTGGACACCGCTCCGCCGCGCCGCGCCATCAGGTTATTGTTTTTGATGGCACACTTTCAGATGCGCATTGTGTATTGAGCAACAGCTTCGGAACATGAATAAGTTTCAATATTAGGTCTGGAACATTTCTATTTAAAGTAGGTACATGAATTGAGGAACTAAAACTCTTTCGATCCAAAACTAAAGTTTACTAATTATCACAATTTCATTGTATGTTGTTAATGAGTACCGTACTTATGGTTCTTATGGTAGAGAAGGTACTTACGGTTTAGTGTGTGATAAAAACGATAAAAAACTAAAGACATTAATGTATTTACCCCTGCCACTTCCACTTCACAAAATGTGTAATACTGTACTGTATACGAGCTGCTATACCGCTATACCAGTGCTTTGCAACGGGAAGAGGACGCAAAGCAGAATAATGTGGTTCTTTAAACCTAGCGTATGGAATAGTCACAATTACAAAACACACATTCATAATTAATTTTAGAAGAAACCTTAATTTTACTACTTAGTGTAATAAAATTCTTTTAATTTAATTCAGGTAAGGAGTTTAAATTTCCTAAGCACCTTGTATGGTAGACCTTGGTGATTAAAAATATTGTAACTATATTTTAGCGAATTTGCCCATAGGGCTATAGCTATTAGCGTAGATGGCATGGTAAGACCTAGGCCCGGGACGATTTACTTTTTCATTTTGATGTCCCCAGAGGCCAAAAACACTATTCGTTCATAGAACAAAAATAATTCAGTCAAAGGATGGACCCATAAAATGATAATTATGGTTACCTTTAACTCCAGGCCGCGTTTAAAGGTGGCCGTAGAACACATACTGTAGACCGTTTTGTGCAAAGTTCGTGCTAACTTGGTAATAGCTATGGTTCTGCGGAACACTGTAACATTCACTTTACTTTGACCTTGGAGACCATGTTCTGTGTAGTGTACTAAGAGGGATGAGAGACAGGGTGTGGTGTAGGTGGTGCGTCAGTGCGTGTAATAGACTCATACTGTAGGCCGTTTGGTTCAAAGTTCGTGCTAACTTGGTAATAGCTATGGTTCTGCGGAACACTGTAACATTCACTTTACTTTGACCTTGGAGACCATGTTCTGTGTAGTGTACTAAGAGGGATGAGAGACAGGGTGTGGTGTAGGTGGTGCGTCAGTGCGTGTAATAGACTCATACTGCAGGCCGTTTGGTTCAAAGTTCGTGCTAACTTGGTAATAGCTATGGTTCTGCGGAACACTGTAACATTCACTTTACTTTGACCTTGGAGACCATGTTCTGTGTAGTGTACTAAGAGGGATGAGAGACAGGGTGTGGTGTAGGTGGTGCGTCAGTGCGTGTAATAGACTCATACTGTAGGCCGTTTGGTTCAAAGTTCGTGCTAACTTGGTAATAGCTATGGTTCTGCGGAACACTGTAACATTCACTTTACTTTGACCTTGGAGACCATGTTCTGTGTAGTGTACTAAGAGGGATGAGAGACAGGGTGTGGTGTAGGTGGTGCGTCAGTGCGTGTAATAGACTCATACTGTAGGCCGTTTGGTTCAAAGTTCGTGCTAACTTGGTAATAGCTATGGTTCTGCGGAACACTGTAACATTCACTTTACTTTGACCTTGGAGACCATGTTCTGTGTAGTGTACTAAGAGGGATGAGAGACAGGGTGTGGTGTAGGTGGTGCGTCAGTGCGTGTAATAGACTCATACTGTAGGCCGTTTGGTTCAAAGTTCGTGCTAACTTGGTAATAGCTATGGTTCTGCGGAACACTGTAACATTCACTTTACTTTGACCTTGGAGACCATGTTCTGTGTAGTGTAGTAAGAGGGATGAGAGACAGGGTGTGGTGTCGTGGTGCGTCAGTGCGTGTAATAGACTCATACTGTAGGCCGTTTGGTTCAAAGTTCGTGCTAACTTGGTAATAGCTATGGTTCTGCGGAACACTGTAACATTCACTTTACTTTGACCTTGGAGACCATGTTCTGTGTAGTGTACTAAGAGGGATGAGAGACAGGGTGTGGTGTAGGTGGTGCGTCAGTGCGTGTAATAGACTCATACTGTAGCTGGGAAAGTAACTTCCGGTTTCCGGTGTGTGACCTCACAGCCATCACACAAGTGATACACGGCACACATGTTTACCCAACACTACGATGCTGATGCTGAGGTAGGGGCTTTCACTCACTCACTCACTGCGTTCTAGTTGCTGTCTAATAACACTCGTACTTAGCCACCATCTCCGAGAATGTCTACAGCATGTTTCCAAGGAAAGTTCAAATGTAGACTATGACTGCGGCAAGTGAGGAGTGAGAATATATGTTCGAAGATGGGTTGTTTTATACAAGATATCCCTATCCACGTGAAAATGTGATTTGTGAGAATAACGCGGCCTTTCAGCTGTTATAAATTGAGAACATTTACAGCTGACAAACAACTGACTGGAAGTGGTACAATCTGAGGAAAAGGAGTAAGGATGAGTGACTATTTTCGCAAGATACCATATTTGCTAGTAGTATAGATTGTGGTCGAGACACCCGACACGTAGTTTGGTGTGTAGCGGGATGGGTGATGGGTGGTACCGATGATATGGTCAGGCCCGGACCACCGTTATGTCTTATCTAGGTCAGATACTTTACTTTTTTACTGCGCCTGCCATCCGTTCACTCTCCAACTAATCGTTTTCTTCTCATCTACCCTCAAATTAGCGTCTAGTTCATCTAGTCGGGCGCTGGACTTATTTCATTTCTGTATACCGGTGATCCACTCAAGCCGGT